GAAAGGGAAGGAAGGAAGGAGAAATGGAAGGAAGGAAGGAGAAAAGGAAGGAAGAAAGGTGGGAGAGAGAAATCACAATCACTGTACAAAATAAGTCAATTTTGAACAGGAAGTCCTTCTCTCTCAGCCCAACCCACCTCACAAGGTTGTTGTTGTGGGGGGTCAAAGGAGGAGGGAGCCGTTTGGGGGTGCGCTCGCTGCCTTGAATTACTTGTAAAGTAACACAGGTCGTGCTTGAATTATGAGCACAATTGAGCCCAAAATTTAGGTTGCTAAGCGAGACGGTTGTTCGGTGAGTTTTGGCCCATGTTACGACCATCCTAGCCAGCATCATTCAACGAATCTCTTCAGTTGTTAACTGAGTCACACGGTCGCTAAGCGAATCTGGCTTCCCATGTGGACTTTGCTTGTCAGAAGGTCGCACTGCAACCGTCATAAATATGAGTCAGTTGCCAAGCAGCTGAATTTGGATCACAGGATGCCGCAATGGTCATAAGTGTGAAAAATGGTCTTAAAAATCACTTTTTTCAGTGCTGTTGTAACTTCGGTCACTAAACAAACTGTTGTACGTCGAGGATTTGCTGTAAAGTATGATAATAATCTAATATAAAATAACAACAATAACAGTAACAACACTAATACTAATAATACAGATATGAAGCTGGATAACCATTTGTCTGAAATCGTATATATAGGGTCCCCTGCTCGGCAAGGGGTTGGACTAGATGACCTCCAAGACTCCCTTCCAACTTTTGTCATTGTTATTTGTTTGTTTGTTTATTTATTTAAATTTTTACACAGCCAAAAAATAAAACCAACAAATATATAAAAGTTAAAAAACAGTTTAAAAAACATATTAAATAATCTGACCACCACGGGTTAAAAACATACTTAAAATTTACTTTTTACTTTTATTTTTTTTTCTTTCTTGCTGCAAAAATCTCACCTCGTTTCCATTTCCTTTTTTTTAATTGTTCTCCTTTCATTTAAAGCTTTAGCCATTAAAAGGAAAACAACTGAATTTTGCAGCTTTTTAAAAGCTGCTCCTGAATCTGTTGAGCTCCCAGATTTAATTCTGGTGTGGCTGGAAGTGGAGAATGTAAGTTTTGGGGGGGGTTTTTCCCCTGATGCAGGACTGGAAGATCCGGCGTATCGGAAGCACCTTTATAAGAGTGCAGCTCATTAGTGGATTCATCAAAGCGCCAAAGTACAAAGCAAATGTTCTCCTGGGGAAAAAAAAATAGAAGTTGGGAATCTGAAGGCCACAATATTTTTATTTCTTATTTTATTTAATTTCTCTGCTGGGGAGAAGCAGCGATTGTTTAATTTAAAATAATGTGGGCTCCTCGAGTTTCCTCCTGCCAGTTATCTCCGCAGGGGTGCCGAAATGAGAAAGCGGAATAAATCACCGATGGGGTTTTAATTGCACCGACTTCCCATTCTTTAATTTAAGACTTTGCCTGATGGGAGCAACGAAGAGATTCGCAACTAGCCAGCCACAAACTTGGACTCTTTAAACAAAGATCTGTAGCTGGTCTAGGTGAGGAAGGGTCATTTTGCTAAAATGGGGTGACTGGGAGGGAGCCCCCCCAAAAAAGCCATGACTACGTCCCTCTGAGTTGAGGCAATTTTAGAATAACGGAGTTGGAAGGGACCTTGGAGGTCTTCTAGACTAGTCCATTTTGAAGGAGAGGATGAGGAATATTTATCATAGGTAGTTCCCCACTTACATCCATTCCTTTAGTGGCCGTCCGAGCTCAAAACAGCCCTGAAAAAAGCAACTTATTTTTTTTTATTATTATTTTTTAAATTTGATTTATATGCCGCCCTTCTCCGGAGACTCAGGGCGGCTTACAGTGCGTTAAGCAATAGCCTTCATCCTTTTGTATATTTATACAAAGTCAGCTTATTGCCCCCACAAACTGGGTCCTCAATTTACCCACCTTAGAAAGGATGGAAGGCTGAGTCAACCTTGAGCCTTGGAGAGATTCGAACTCGCAGTAATTGCAGGCAGCTGTGTTAATAACAGGGTGCTTTAGACCACTGTACTACCAAGGCTCAACTTATGACCTCACACCTCACTTATGACTGTAGCAGCACCCCTCGGGCGTCTGACTCATAGTTGTGATGGTTTTAGCGTTGTGAGGTCACACGTTTGTGACCTTCCCAGACGGTTTCTAAGAAGCAAAGCGGGAAGCCGGATTCATTGAGTGATTCGCTTAACACCGGCGATTTGCTTAAAAGAAAATTATGATTTGGCAAAAAAAAAAAAAAAGTAACAGAATCGGCCGTGATTCACTTAGGAACAGAAATTCTGCTCTGAATTTCTGGTCGTAAATTGAGGACTGCCTGGGTATAGCCTGTAAGGAGGGAGAGGATTGGAACTTTTAAATGTGTGTGTGTGTATTGTATATATTAATATATTAAATTATTAAGGGTGTGAATTATTGTTCCCGAAGGCAGCATTTTCAATATAAGCAAAAATTAAGAACAGGGAGACAACACGATGTGTATTAAACACTAAGAAATGTAATTAATAAAAAAATTAATAAAAAAAATATGAAGCAAAAATCAAGAACAGGGAGTTAAAAACTTGAAGTGACCGGAGAGAAGTTCAAGAGTCATATTAGAAAGGATGACATGGCAGAAAGAATACAGGTAATCCTCGGATTACAACCACAATTGAGGCCCCAAAATTATGTTACTAAGTGAGACAGTTATCAGGTGACTTTTGCGGCCCCATTTCACAATCTTTCTCGCCACCGTTGTTAAGTGAATCTCTGTGGTCGTTAAGCGAATCTGGCTTGACTTCGCCTGTCAGAAGGCGATCACACTGCAACCGTCGTAAATATGAGTCAGTTGCCCAGGGTCTGAATTTTGATCACGTGACCAAAGGAGGCTGCAGCAGTCATAAGTGTGAAATACATATCAGAAGTAATATTTTTATAACTTCCAATGGTCACTAAATGAACGGTTGTATGTCAAGGACTACCTGGGGTGGAAGCTTGGAACCAACGTCAAAACAGAGGTGGTGGGTCCATCATCAGGAATTTGAATTTAAACAGGCTTGGGATAAATTCAGGTAGTCCTTGACTTACAACAGTTTCTTTAGTGACCGTTCAAAGTTACAACGGCAGGGAAAAGAGAGACTTACGACCATTTTTCATACTTATGACCGTTGCCGCATCTCCAGGGTCACGTGATTTACATGCAGATGCTGGACAACTGGCTCACATTTATGACGGTTGCAGTGTCCCGCTGGTCACGTGATCCCCTTTTGCGACCTTCCAACGAGCCGAGTCCATGGGGGAAGCTGGATTCACTTAACAACCGTGTTACAACTGCAGTGATTCACCGAACAACCGTGGCAAGAAAGGGGGCAAAACTCACTTAACAAATATCTTCACTTAGCAACATAAATTCTGGGGTCAATTGTGGTCGTAAGTCGAGAACTACCTGTGTAGGCCCATCATCCACAAAAGTTTAAAATTTAAAAAATAAAATAAAATAGAAGAAACTCACAAGGCAGTTGTGATCAGTTTTCTGTTTCTATGGGTGTGTTTGTGTTTTTGTGTGTAGATCAATTCTTGATAGACGAGTGTGTTGGTGTGGGGGTTGTGTACTACACATTTCCTTCTGGAATTCCTTTCTTTGAATTAAGTTTCCTCCCAGCTTGGCTGCCCTGCCGGATCTGTGACCGAAGGACAGAATCATACAAGGCGAAAGACGGGAGGTTCCCCAGAGACCATCTAGTCTGACCCTTTGCCAGGGCAGGAATCCAAGAGGAGAGCGGCGGCCCCTGGCAAGAGGGCTGTGCAGCTTCTCTTTCCGTCCCTCTGGCAAGGAGAGCCAGCTCCCTCCCTCCCTCCCATCCGAGGGATCTCCTTCCCAAGATCCAGCTGAGATCTACTTCCTTGTCATTTAAATCCCTCCTTTTTCTCTTTGCTTTTTCCGGAAGGGCTCTGACTTCTCTTACTCACTTTTTACACATACTTGAATCAAGCCTCCCTCCACTGCCTCTCTCACACGACCCCTGGAGGCTGCTACTGCTACTCTAAATGCAGGTATTCCTCGGCTTACGACCACAAGGGAGCCCCATTTTTTTGTTGCTAAGCAAGACTGTTGTTTTGCTCCAAGCATGCTCTTCCTCCTCCCCGCAAACCCCTCTCCCTTCTAGCACTGATGATGTTCCCTAGTTGGGTAATGAAACGTCTGCAAGAAAACCCCCAAGCTCAGAGACCCCCCCCCAGGACCCCCACTCCTCCTTTTTAGCACTGATGATGTTCCCTAGTTTTTTTTGTTTTGTTTTGTTTTGTTTTTTTGATTTATATGCCGCCCTTCTCCGGAGACTCAGGGAGGCTTACAATGCGTTAAGCAATAGCCTTCATACTTTTGTATATTTATAATAAAGTCAGCTTATTGCCCCCACAAACTGGGTCCTCATTTTACCCACCTTAGAAAGGATGGAAGGCTGAGTCAACCTTGAGCCTTGGCGAGATTCGAACTTACAGTCATTGCAGGCAGCTGGTCTTAATAACAGGGTGCATTAAACCACTGTACTACCAAGGCTCCTTGGGTCACGGAAGGTCTGCAAGAAAGCCCCCAAGCTCAGAGACCCCCCCAGGACCCCCACTCCTCCTTTTTAGCACTGATGATGTTCCCTAGTTGGGTCACGAAAGCTCTGCAAGAAGACCCCAAGCTTGGAGAACACCAAGGACCCCACAGTTCTCCTCCTCCCCTCCCCTCCCCTGATGATGTTCCCTAGCGGGGTCCCGAAACGTCTGCAAGAAACCCCCCCCCTCGGCTCAGAGAGCAGGCAGGATCCCTCAGCCCCGCCGGCAGCTGCGCGGATCCTCTTTGGTGGGGATCTTTTCCATTCAAGCGGATCCGCCTCTCTCGGATCCTCCAGGAAGCGCGGCGGGGTTGTGCAAGCTCCAGAAGGCGGGGCGGCCGCCAGGCGGGGAGAGCCAGGCGCCTCCTTACACACACACACCACACACGCACCGACCCACAAACACCCCTTCCCCGCTTCCCTTGAGGTCGCGCATTCTTCAGCCCGAAAGCGCGGAGCGAGGGCGCATCGCCGGGACCCGGGCAAGTCTGGCATAGGAAGGATCAGGGTAGGCAGGAAGAAACCCCCTCGCTAAGACCACCTTCCCCACGCCCCCGCACTCCTGCGACTCCCCCCCACTCCCGCCCCCGGGCTGTGGACCATGGGCTTTGTAGTCCTTTCTTCCCTTCTCCCCCCCTCCCCAGCGCGGACTTCCAAACGCCAAGCCTTGCGCAACCGGTGGCGGCGGCTGCAGCGGCAGCGGAGAGTCCGCAGCCGCCCCCGCACCTCTCCCCCCTCCCTCCGCTGCCTGGGGAGTGGGGGGGTGGGGGTGGGGGTGGGAGGCGGGGAGGGGGTGTGTCCTGGGCGGCTCCTCCTCCTCCAATCAGCGCGCCCGGCGGCGGGGAAGTGGGGTAATCCCCGAAGCGGCAGAGCCGGCGATCGGCTGCTTGAAGCGGGCGGGCGGGCTGGTTGGTTCCCCGCCTGTCCTCGCCGGAGGAGGCAGCCCCTTCAGCCGGGCGGGCTCCGCTTCGGCTCTTTCCTTTCCCGCGGGGGCGGCTGGCTGGGCGCGCGGTTGATGGGCGAGGAGCCGCGTCCGGGAAGCGGCGCTGAGATGGGCAAGGCACCTTTAGCGCCCGGTTGGAAGGGCGACCCCGAGGTCCTCTAGTCGGACCCTTCCCCTCCCCTTCCCCCCCAACCCGCCCTGCTGCCCAGCCTGCGCTTGTGACCCCCCGGCCGTCCCCGCTTCTCTCCCCTTCAAGCGCGGGGATGCTGATGCTGCCGCTGCCCGCTCGCCCGGAGGAGCCGCCTGCGCCTTGATGCGTCCGACGCTCCCGGAGACAGGTAGGAAAGGAAAGGAAAGGGACGCGGGGTGGGGGGGTGAGGCGGCTGCGGATGATGGGAGGTCTGGTCCGAGATGGGGCTTGGCAGGTCTGGCCCGGGAAAGCTTGGGAAAGGTGGCTTGTGCTAACCTGGTTAAGGCTGAACAGGCTTTGCTTGGTTTAGGGAAGGGGTGTCCAAGCTTGGGGGCTTTAAGACTTATGGACTTCAACTCCCAGAATTCCCCAGCCAGCTTTGCTGGCTGGGGAATTCTGGGAGTTGAAGTCCACAAGTCTTAAAGCCCCCAAGCTTGGCCACCTGTGCTTTTTGAGTGTTTTCCAAAGGCATCAATGCAGAAACCAGATTGAGCGTATTGTGTGAAAAAGGCGAGTCAGGAGTGAGTCGCCTGTGGTCCTTCCTCCTTCCTCCTTTTCTTTTCCCTTTTGACCTCTTCACCTGGTCAACCTCGCAGGGACGTTGTGTGCACCTCGGGAGAGATCTTGCGCCTTGCTCAGGGATCTCTGGGACGAGCCAAAGGTGGAAGCAGGGAAGAAGAGTCACGTCTTCACAGTTTTGTGGGTTAGGAAGCTGGGTCCATCGTCCCCTTCCGACACTCCCCTCCCCCCTTGCTTCTGCCCCCCTCCCCTCCCGGGTTGAAATCTGGTGTTGGACCCCAAAGCTTGACCCCAAAGGATGGCTTTGCCTGCCACTTTGTCAGTCCTTACTTGGGTTAGCCTGTTGTGTGAATGCAGCCGTGAGGTCTTCAAGTGACCTCAATGGGAGGGGAGGGGTCTCCTTAGATGGAGGGGGGGGTGGGTCCGGGGGAGGGGGGGGTTCTTGCTGAAGGATCCCCTTCTGGGCTGCCTGGCTTTGCTTTGCTTCTGGCCTGAGGGGGGGGTGGGAGTGGGTGGAGGGTGTTGGCTCCTGCTGTGGGAGACCCCCATGTTCCTATTGCGGTCGTGTGAAGGTTTTTCCCCTTTCCGTCTTTCGGAGGTCTCTTTAGGATTCAGTCCTGTATCAATCTGTGACTATTTTATTTTATTTTTATTTAATTTGGTTTATTATTTTATATGTATATATGTCTCTCTCTGTGTGTGTGATATAATATATGTGGGCATATACATAATTTATTCGTTTATCCATTTGTTCATTCATTCTGTCGTGGTTATGTAGTGTGTATTGGAGGTGGAGACCCTTTGAGAGCTGGATGCAACATAATTTCATTTTAATAATGTATGCTGATCAGTGTACCTTCAAAGTGACAATAAAGTTATTATTCTATTCTACTTTATTTTGTTTTATAATTCGGTTTATTTTTATCTTATCTTTGTCAGCATTCTGATGCTGCCATAAAAAGACGAGGCTTGACTTTTCACCTACTTATTTTCTCCGTAGATAATATCCCCTAGGAGATGGGAGGGGAGGGGGAACATTCCTGTGGGGTGAGGTCAGAAGCTGGGGAGACTGACTTGGAAGATGGCCAATGAGAAGATGAGAATTGGGGAACGGAAAGGGAAGGGCTTGGGGGTCAGAGGGTTAGTATCGGCTACGACGAAGTCGGGGCCAGATCTGTCGTACTCAATAAATGGAATATTTCAGCAAAGATTAATTGTTTGGGAGTGCAATTTATTTGAGACGACATCGAAACCTGACAATCTTATTTTTTATTTTATTTTTAATGTTTATTTTATTTTATTTATTATTTTATTTTATTTATTTTGTTTTTATCTTATTTTATTTTTTATTTTTTTTATTTTATTATCTTATCTTATTTTTTATTTAGTTTATTTGTATCCTCCCTTTATTATTTTTTACAAATAACTCAGAGCAGCAAACATATTCAACACACTTTCCTCCCATTTTCCCTACTGCAACAACTCTGTGAGGAAGGTTGGGCTGAGAGAGAGGGTGGGAGAGTGGCCCAAAGTCACTCAACCAGCTTTCATGCCTAAAACAGGACTAGAACTCCCCATCTCCTGGTGATTGGCCCAAAGTCACCCAGCCATCTGGCATGCATAAGGTTGGACTAGAACTCACTGTCTCCTGGTGATTGGCCCAAAGCCACTTAGCTGCCTTTCATGCTAAAACAGGACTAGAACTCACTGTCTCCTGGTGATTGGCTAAAAGTCACCCAGCCATCTGGCATGCCTAAGGTTGGACTAGAACTCAACTGTCTCCTGGTGATTGGCCCAAAGCCACTTAGCTGCCTTTCATGCATAAGGTGGGACTAGAACTCACCGTCTCCTGGTGATTGGCTCAAAGTCACCCAGCTGGCTTTCAGGGTTCAGGCGGAACTAGAACTCCCAGTTCCTTGCTTTCTAACCTTAACCAGCAGACCAAACTGACTAGCTTTCAGCCGAGAAATTTGTTAAATAAGCTTCATTAGCTGGTTGTACAATGGAGGCAAGTCCTTGACTTATTGGGGACTAGAATTTCCCAAATCCTGCTGAGCAAGATGGTTGTTAAATAATTAGCGCCTGATTTTATGACCTTTTTTTTTTGGCCACATTTCTTAAGGAAATCGCTGCAGTTGTTAGATAAATCACGTGGTCAGTAAGCGAATCCCTTGTTCCTTGAAAACCGGCTGGGAAGTTTGCAAGTGGTGATCACACAACCCTGGATATTAACAACTATCGGTGGCAAAACACACGAATTTCGATCCTGCGATTGTGGGAATGCTGCGACGGTCATTGTCCCTTTTTCAGAGCTGTTGTAACTTCATACGGCCCCTGAACGAATGGTCGTAAAGCAAGAACTGCCTGCATTTGACAATGGCTTTTGGACCTGGGGAAAAAAATAAAAAGAGCAAAGAGAATGTTTTGCGAGAGGACAAAAAGGCAAAAAAAGAGAAAAAAAAGTCATTTTTGCCAGGTTGTGGATTTTATTTTGGTGCAGATGGGTGAGCCCCCTGTCCTGGCAGCCAAAGTTGCTTTCTTTATGATGAATAATTTTCTCATCTCCCTGGTAGATTTTTCTCCTTCCATGCCTGGATTTTTTCATTTCATTTCATTATATATTTCTATTATTTCTATTTCTATTTTCCGTTCCATTCCATTCCATTCCATTCCATTTTAATTTTATTTAAATAAAATTAACTCCGGGCAGCTTACAGTGTAATAAACATTAGAAGAAAACATTCAAATTGTCAAATATAAAATGACAGAGCAGACAAAAAGAAAAAAGCATTAGCACAAGATGGGAAAAGCAGGGAGCTGGATGCATGGGGAAGGGGTTGAGGGAAGGAGGTGGGATTAGTTTTTAATTTTATTTGTGCAGGCAGGGCCCGTTTCCCTTTGCCTTCCTTCTCTACAGGCAATCCTCGACTTACGACCACAATGGAGCCCAAAATGTCAACGGTTGTTAAGTGAGACATTTGTTTTTGCCCCTATTTTACGACCTTTCTTGTCACAGTTGTTAAGGGACTCCCTGCTGTTGTTAAATGAGTCATACGGTCGTTAAGTGAATCTGGCTTCTCCACTGACTTTGCTTGTCGGAAGGTCGCAAAAGGGGATTGATCACGTGACCCCGGGACACCACGACCGTCATAAATTGTGACCATGTAACGTGTCCAAATTGTGACCATGTAACCACGGAAATGCTGCAACGGTTGTTAAGTGTAAAAAAAACTGCCATAAATCACTTTTTCCAGTGGCGTTGTAACTTCAAATGGTTACTAAATGAACCATTGTAAATGGAGGACTACTTAGACTTCTGACCCAGAAGAATGCCAGGAAGTTGGAGGAATGCTCGAAAGCAACCGGAATGAAGAGCCACTTCTTCCATAATCCCTCTTATATGCCGATATATTATGATTATCATTACTCTGCATGCACATTTTGGAGCTTCTGCACCGCAGACAAATTCCTTGTGTGTCTAATCACACCTGGCCAAATAAAGTAATCTCAATCAATCAGAATAGAGCTGGAAGGGACCTTGGAGGTCTTCTAGTCCAACCCCCTGTTCAGATTGGAGATCCTATGCCGTTTCAGACAAGTGGCTGTCCAGTCTCTTTTTAAAAACTTCCAGTGCTGGAGCATCCACAACTTCTGGTGGCAAGCTGTTCCACTGGTTAATTGTCCTCGCTGCTAGGAAGTTTCTCCTTAATTCTTGGTTGCTTCTCTCCTTTTTTTTTTTTTTTTTATTGAAAAAGTTTTTCAAATATTCTCTCCTTGATGAGTTTCCATCCATGGCTTCTTGTTCTACCTTCAGGGGCTTTGGAGAATAATTTGACCCCCTCTTCTTTCTGGCAGCCCCTGAGATATTGGAAAACTGCTCTCATGTCCCCCCTAGTCCTTTTCTCTAGACTGGACAAACCCAAATCCTGCAACCGTTTTTTGTATGTTTTAGCCTCTAGGCCTTTGATCATCTTAGTTGCTCTTCTCTGAACTTTTTCCAAAGTCTCAACATTTTTTTTTGTAATGTGACAAAACTGGATGCAGGATTCCAGATGTGGTTTCACTAGTGCTTTATAAAGTGGTACTAATATGATTTTGATTCTGTTCCTCTGTCTATTCCATTCCATTCCATTCCATTCCATTCTAATTTTCTGTTCCGTTCCGTTCCGTTCCATTCCATTCCATTCTATTCTATTCTATTCTATTCTATTCTATTCTATTCTATTCTATTCTATTTATTCTATTCTATTCTATTCTGTTTTCTGTTGTTCTGTTCTGTTCTATTCTAAATCCTATTCTATTCTATTCCCATTCATATATATTCTATTCTATTCTATTCTATTCTATTCTATTCTATTCTATTCTATTCTATTCTATTCTATTCTGTTTTCTGTTGTTCTGTTCTGTTCTATTCTAAATCCTATTCTATTCTATTCTATTCTATTCTATTCTATTCTATTCTATTCTATTCTATTCTATTCTATTCTATTCTATTCTATTCCATTCCATTCCATTCCATATTCTATTCTATTCTATTCCATATTCTATTCTATTCTATTCTATTCTATTCTATTCTATCTATTCTATTCTATTCTATTCTATTCTATTCTATTCTTTTTCTGTTGTTCT